TGAGACAAAAAAATACACCCGCAACCTTACCATCATGTAAAACACAGGTTTCAGTTTCCCACTTGACACGACGGTAGTACCTCCCTGGGTGGTTGCTGTCTACCTACATGCTACCTATAATATATATAATATAAATATGTATAATATATTCACATTTAATCTTACTTATACTCAAATTTATCTTCATATTTATATCCACTTTTATATTCATATTGACATTTATACCCATATATGTCAAAACATTCACAATCATATATAAACTTCCACTATATTTCATCGGAATTGCTCAATAGGTTAGTAATAAATAAATAAGGCGATTAATAGGAATATGATATATCAGACTAACATTTTAAAATAGAAAATAACCATTGTTATCATCAGTCTTAAGAGTGTAATATTGTTTTGGTGGGCATTATAATGCTGAAACCAGTGTGAAGGTTGCAGGCATATTATTCCAGGGCCCGAAATTAGACCCCAGCTACCACAACTAGTTTAGTACATTGTTTCACAGAACACCATCACTTTGTAGGCAAACCTGCACAGGTAAGTTCACACACACACGCACGCACACACACACACACACACACACACACACACACACACACACACACACACACACACACACACACACACACACACACACACACACACACACATCAAACAAACACAAAATCTTTTGCCCTCCCGGAATTCCCTAAAAGTGTTTCTCGAATCTCAAGTCAATTACAGCCAAGGGACTGAAAGCATTTTCCTAAAATTGCCTTTTTTCTGACCTGCTTTTTTAGCACATTGGCCGTGATCCAAAGCAGAAAACACATTCACTATCATTCGCTACGTTGCTCTCTCTCCAGAAGGACAGATACAATCACAATACCACAATATTCAGTGAATACCTCCAGCAATCGCTTAATAAAATAACCAAGAACTTGGTATGAGTTTCGTAGTATCTTATCTGGGAAAGAAAAACACTGGTATGTCACAAAGTAAATTAAAGATAGACACATTAAGCCTTTATTGAAACTGTTTCTAGTAACTGGATAAGATATAACTCTCTGCTTGTCTTTAGTCGTGAATGTAACGACTTAAATATGGAATATAGGGAACCTAACTGGCAAGTTGTAACTGGAAGTGAAAGCATTTACTTAGTCTGAGTTTTATTAACGAAAGGGTCCCAGGGGTTGACACTGGTATTTTTCCTTGTTTCTTGCTCTTGGTTTTCAATTATTTTCAATTACTTTCCAATTAGCAGCAGCTTCTGCAACAGCAGCTACAAAACTAACATTAGAAGCATAATCAATAACAGCAAGAAAAGTATCAACAGCCGTAACATTTTTTTTTATCACATTGGCCGATTCCCACCAAGGCAGGGTGGCCCGAAAAAGAAAAACTTTCACCATCATTCACTCCATCACTGTCTTGCCAGAAGGGTGCTTTACACTACAGTAACATAGTAACATAGTAACAAAAATTATAAAATATATTACAATTGCATCTACCACTTTCACGACAATTACCAGTACAATAAATAACCCAGGTAGTTGTCACGAATAAAATTAACGCGTATTAGACAATTCGAGCCTCCGAAATTTAACACTGTCTTGTCTCGAAATCTGGATGGAATTTTCCTGTTTGTGATGCCACATTTATCAGATCAACGGCTGAAATTTGAATTTTGTTGTTATGACTGGTTTGTGGTGATAGTTGTCGTAAGGGTGCGTGGTGATGGTGATATATGGTGATGGTGGCTGGGATAGCATTAGTAGTGGTGAGTGATGGTGGTAATACAATGGCATTAGTGGAGGTTGTGTAGAATCATTAGCTTAGTCCGAATGTGTTCTTAAAAAGATTCACTCAATGTGACTTTACTGAACATTACTTACGTTCTTTCCTATACATGGTAAATAAATTGTTTAGGATTCAGACAAGACAATTTGACATTTTGAAAAAAAAAAACAGAAACAAAATTTAAACAAACAGTTCCCACACACAATATAATTAAGTTATCAAAACATTTCCTTACCTTTTCCTATATGAAGTTCTCTCTACTTCTCCCCTTCCCCTCACTAAAAAATTTAATAAACGAAAATTGTGAAAAAGTGTTTTTGTGTGTTGTGTACATATGAAAATGAGGGTGGCATGGCCCTCTGGCGGCGCTGTAATATAAGAGCAATGATGTTGCTGTGTTTATATTCCAGTCCCACACACACACCACCTTGCTTACCAAGTAGCCACGAACTCGTCTCCAACTAAACCTTACTTGTGTGCTGCTATTTTATCACCACTAAAATTAATCATATAGACAAAAATACAATTAACTTGAATAAAATAAGGCACTTTAAACACTTACATATATATGACGTTTCAATTGATGTTCAATACTTTTTTTAAGTGAAGACTTACTTAAAATAGTTTATATATGAAGTCATTGTCAATGATATAAAGTTCCCATACAGCTTTAAAGTGTCTTATTTTATATCAGCCTAACGGTGTTGACACACCTTGCAACATGCCTCATTAACTGTTCTTGCAACATGCCTCATTAACTGTTCTTGCAACATGCCTCATTAACTGTTTAACAATGTAAAGTCCGGTTTGTTTAAGGATGTGAGGAAGTGTATTGATATTAATCACCTCAGTAATTACTTCGATTTTACTGAAGATGAAATAGCCTCTAAGTTATTACTATTATTATTATTATTATTATTATTATTATTATTATTATTATTATGATGATGATGATAACAGGGAAGCGTTAAACCACTATGAAGAGTACAGTGTCTAGAGAATGAGAGGCACTTGGGAATGATGCAAGGAAGTGGAGGGAAGATTCAATTTCTTAGATCAAGAGCCCTTTACCAAGGGCTCTTGATCTGAGTTTATTGGAGGTTACTCCCTCCAATAAACTATAAACTATTGAGACCAAGATTTATTGCTGTGTGTGAAGCTAAAAGTTACAGAGAAAGCTGATAAATTGGAACACCTTGAGACATGTGAGCTGAAATGACGGAAAAAAAAGTGTGTGTGTGTGTGTGTGTGTGAGAGAGAGGGAAAATAGTGTCCACGAGAGTGTGCGTTTGGTCAACACACTTCACCCGACACTTTCACAGAAATGGTGATAGAAAAATAAGTCTCGCTCGTAGGGCTTGGATAGCGATGTGTGTGTGTGTGCGTGTGCGTGTGCGTGTGTGTGTGTGTGTGTGTGTGTGTGTGTGTGTGTGTGTGTGTGTGTTTTCGTGTGGGCGCTTGTGTGTGCGCGCTGAAAATTCTTATCGCACTAGTGTAATAATTTGATTGTGTGATCGCAGTTCATAAGATTTTCCTAACCAAAATGCTGGGCAAGTTGGCGATGACTGATTTGAGACCTGATCAACGAGCTTTTATAGAGAAACCTCGATCAAGCCAAGAACCATCGTTTAATTCTAGCTCTAGTTCCCAGTCACTTGTCAATGTACCGAAAATTGTATATCACGTATTACCTGAACTAGACCTGAAGGCGATTTCAGGGTCATCGTTACCGAGACCTAATCCTAGAACAGGAAATCACTAGGTCTCAGTAGCACTCATCTATAACCTGGTCTCAGGTAGTTGTCATCAATAACCTGAAGTAGTCTGGAGATGATCAGAGGTCACCTAAGATCCATAGTATCACCTTGCGTCGTCTGCAATCATCTAAGAGTCTCTGATCCACCCGGAATTCTCTAGACCTGCCTATGATCACATGATTGAACTTAGAGTGGCTTAGATGCCACCTGGGATTACCTAGAGTCATCTAAAGGTCATCTAGAATCAGCTATGGTCACCTTGTAGAGCTGGATTGTAAGGAGATAACTTGTCTATCCTCGACATCATCTCCAGACTCTTGCCACCGTCTCTCTGCGCATACTTCATCTTAAAATCAGTCTTGAATATTCATGGCGTGTGCTGGTGAGACAGAGAAAGCTTCCTCGGAGAGTTGGTAATTGTGGACAGTGATGGGAGTGATGTCTGGTATATTTCTCATCAAGTGTGGGCGAACAAGAAAAGGAAATTTAATGAGGATCAAAACTTTTGTAGTGCAGGAGAGAGTAAGAAGAAGTGGGAGGAAGCAGGAGTAAGTAGTACGGTTTAAAAGAAACCAGGAGGAAGCGGGAAGGACCAGGAAACAGGAAGGACCAGGAGACAACTGGAGGGAGGGAGAGGCAGGAGAAGGAACTAGGAGACATTGGGAGAAAACAGGAGGAAGGAGGATGAAGCAAAATGCAGCAGAAAGCAGTAAAACCACCAATAGAATTTTGGTTAATTAGATTGTCTAAAAACTTAAATTAAAAAGTGTATAAAATAAAATATAATTTCAGATATTATTTGACTTAGACATCATATGCTGCTTTGATGTAATAAATTTTAAAAGTTCCTACAATGTAGTGGTGTACCATGTGCTAGCAGTGATCACATAGAGTAGTGGGATCACAGTGTAGTGGTGTACCATGTGCTAGCAGTGATCACATAGAGTAGTGGGATCACAATGTAGTGGTGTACCATGTGCTAGCAGTGATCACATAGAGTAGTGGGATCACAATGTAGCGAGATCAGTGTCGGAACACAGAGTAATGGGACCATAATGGGATTTTAGTAGTGATCAAAGTAGTTGTGATATATGGCAGCATATTGTAACCTAAACGACTTGGCACGATTTGCCTACACCCTTAATTATAAATATAATTTATACACTAGTTATTGCTTGCCAAACTGTATCTTCTCAGCAGAATCCTTCTAATCAAGATACCTGCAGCATGTGCTCTTTGTGTATGTGTATAAATGTTTGGCAAGCCTTTGCGTGTGCGCGCGCGCACACGTGAGTTGGCTCCCACGACGATGATAACTGAGACGCAAACGGTTGTTAGGAGATTTGCATACTTAACTACTTAACTTTTTAAACTAACGTAAATAACCAAGGCCTCACTGAAAATATATAAATACAGGGAAATTCGCCATAGGGAGTTTTGTTGGAGGTGACAGCTGTCAGCAAGTGTGGTACACAGGTATTCCTCACGCCACATGAGCTGGCGTCTTGTAGTGCGACTCAGTGATGGTGTTCTGTGTAGCGAGTACACTTGTTAACCCGCTTAAGTAAATCTTTGCGTATGTTAAGCGAAAAATAAACCTTGGAGAAACCTTTTGACTGTAAATACTCTGTCGTTCTGCAAGTTCGAGGTAAGTTCTGAAATGGGAGTTAGTTGTAAGTTAGAAACAATTATAGAATATTAATTATATGTTTAGGTATTCCTGAAGGAGTTAGAAGAAAAAATATTTTACCTATATTCGTACTACTGATTTGACTAATTTCATCGGAAAGCAATTAAAGAAGATTTTTAATTACTATTTCAAATTACTCGTAGAATCCGACTTACTAGATCTTACTTGATCTCCTCTGTATCCTCGTACGTTTATCTACGTCTTGAATACAATCAGGCGACCAATACACAATACCATGTAAGATGGGATCTGACAGGAGAATTGTACGTGTAAATATTGTTTCGGTGTTGTGTGTTGTGGTGTTATTTTGTGTTGTATTTTGCGTTATGTTGTATTATATGGTGTATTCCTATCACGTGCTGCTTTTGTATGTTGAATGATGTTACTGCGTGTTTTAGAGAGAGAGAGAGAGAGAGATGAGAGAGAGAGAGAGAGAGAGAGAGAGAAAGAAAGATAGAAAGAAAATCGGTGGTGAAATTCTATATATGATTAATGATTAACCTGAAATGTTGGTTTATACACTGTGTAAGGGATAATAATTATATATATATATATATATATAATATATAATATATATATATATATAATATATATATATATATATATATTATATATATATTATATAGATACAATATAAAAAGTGACCTGAAATAATACAAACTCCCTATAGAATATAGTATCATATAATATAATATATATATATATATATATATATATAAATATTATATATATATATATATATTATATGATACTATATTCTATAGGGAGTTTGTATTATTTCAGGTCACTTTTATATTGTATCTATATAATATAATATATATATTATATATATATATATATATATATATATATATATATATATATATATATATTAATTTATATACAGATTCACAGTACAGCAAGTTTGTTGTACTATTTCAAAATTTTTAGCATTGTAATGTATAATTTACATTATACTAGAACTTACAATGAAGAGGAAAGTGAAACTCTGAAATACAGATGTAAAATATATTGTTATATTATTTTTCTTATATACATATAAATGTCAAACAGCTCCTGGGGAATGAGAGGTAATCAGGTTTGATGCAAGGAGGGAGAACAGCTTCAGTTCAGTGGATCAAAAACCCTTCACCAGGATAAAAGCATCTTCCCTGTTCTTGAACTGAGATATAGATAAATCTCTAAAATAAGAACATCTAAATCCAGAAAAAAGAACAGGAAATAGAGGAGAAATGAAACGCGTTTCCCAGAGGTGTGTAAATCAGTGTAGGAAGTGAGTGACGTTAATGCTGGGATAAACTCTCATATTATTCAGGTCACTATAACTCAAAAGTTATAGTTCTGACTATGTTATGCTCTATAAAGAAAACGTGCGCCATTTATTCCACTGTATCCATAACATTTCGTTTATAATTTTGCATGCCAGTCACTGGTTAAGTTGTATAAAAGGCTTACTCGTAGTGTTATTTAAAGAGCATTTAGGTTTTCTCTGTTTCATTGTAAATTCTCTTTTTAAAAGTCTATTGTACCCATAACATTTCGTTTTTGAGTTCTGCTTCTCAGTGACTGGCTGTGTTATACTGGATATAAGACCAACCATAGTTCCTTTGTTTACGATGGCGCTGAACAGGTATTAAAAATTTTTCTAAGATTTTTAGTATTTTTGAAACAGTTTATATGTCACCACCACTACATTTATTACTGATATCACTATAACCATCATCACCATTATCGTTACCATCATCTTCACTACCATGACCATACCACCACTGCCATCATCACCATCAACACCACGACAACCACCATCACCACGATCATAACCCCCCCCCCCACCATCCTCACTACCACCCTCATCATCACGATCACCAGTACCACCACCTCACGCACCTGTCTCGGATAATTGAATTTTCTAGTGATTAGCTCAAGGCAGGAGATTCCATGAATGGGTGCGAGTCACCGGGAAAGCAATAATTTATGTTCTCTTTTGCCCACCATGTGATGTCCCTACCAAATGTGATTATTATTTATCAGGTACATGAAGTCCTTAAGACTTCATGTAATCTGTTCACCACCAGTCAAGTGTACTTTAATCCCTAAAATTAGGTTTACGGTAAACTGTGTATATATACACACTAATTACCGACAAGTCTCTTGGACAACAAAACTATTGTAGGGTTATACAACTATTAAATAGATGTGATTGTTAATTGGTTTTATTAAAGCACTAAAGCCTTGTTGGTCGTTCAGAACAAGACAGTGTAGGTTCGAGCCTCCGTCCACCAAGCATCAAATGTGCTATTTAGCTGTATTTGCCCAGTTGTCCTAGAAGAAAAGAGTAATTTTTTTTTAAATAGTTTGTCAAGTGGGAGCTTTATCAAGTCCAGAATTTTAACAAAAGAAATAAATGCTGTTTGTCAAGTTTCTTGGTCCTAACCTTCTTACGGAAGGTGACAAGACGCTGACGAAAGTCTTGATCCAAGGAACTGGGCCATACCCCTTCTTCCTTGGATCGAATTTGATTGTCTTGCATAATCCCGGCTGGTTTAACGTTCATTCCCTCATGAATACAATAATTCCAATAAAAATAAAAATATTTAATCAATTAAGAAATGGTCAGGTAAAGTCACCTGCGTCCAACTTTCTTATTTTAAATATCAATACGTGTACACAGAATCTTTAAGATTTGTTATTGTTTCAGATGCTGGACAAAACTCTACACCGGTTTCTGGCAGTCACAATGCATTTTAACAGTGAGTATAAACATTTGCAATAAGACTCAGTGCCAAGTATGTCATGCAACATAGCAAACACAGCCTTAGACAAGGAAATTGTGGAGTGTGTGTCCACAAGAAAATAATGAAAAGCAAACTGTAAGTGTAGTATAATTTAGACTGAGTTCCTAGGCATGTCAATGCATAATTCACTTGACTAAAAGAAATCAGAGAAACGAATTATTTTGGAAAAAAATTTAGTCTGAGGCAGGTAACACAAGCACACACACATGTACGTACTCGAGTTCTCGTGCCTGTGCCCCCACACACACATGCACATACTCGAGTTCTCGTGTCTGTGCCCCCACACACACATGCACGTACTCGAGCTCTCGTGTCTGTGCCCCCACACACACATGCACGTACTCGAGCTCTCATGCCTGTGCCCCCACACACACATGCACGTGCTCGAGTTCTCGTGCCTGTGCCCCCACACACACATGTACGTACTCGAGCTCTCGTGCCTGTGCCCCCACACACACACGTACAAAAATACTGTAAGAGTTGAGATGGCAATCACAAAATTTAAAAGGTGAGCATTCAAGCAAGAGGACAGATGAAAGGTACCCAAGAAATAGAGAAGTTAAATGCAATTCTTAAGCGTAAAATAAAAGTTCATTGATATGAACAAGAACACTTTATTGACTTAATAAATGAGTGCTAAAGTAAAGATTATAATGGTGAATCAGCTTAAGCTCGATAGAGAGACTATAAGATATAAATATTTAATAGAAAATAAGAATAGTGGTAACTGACGGAGAGCATTTATTCAGAACTAAAGATCAGTAAAACATTAAAATTTATAAAATAAGGAGTATACTGCTGGAATGAAAAGTGTATCAATGGAATTAAAAATGTACTATTGTAATGGGTTCAGAGATATATACTCCACAATAGTGAGAAGTCAGAAAACAGGAGTTATAAGGCATAAAACAAGAAGTTGACAGAACCGCGTGTAAGAAAGGAAGCAGTTTATCATATACGCTTGATTTTTAATCTTCATTTACCCTTAAATTGTGCAATACGTTTCTAAAATTCATACAGATTCCGAATCCATTTTCCAAATACTTTCTTTCTATTCACATTTTCTCTAATATTACCAATGTTTCCACTTGTATTTTGTCTGAAAGTCTGTTCGTTATTGCAGCTGATCTCTACTCTTATTGTAAGAGTCACGAAGGAAACTTTGTGTCTCATTCTGGTACTAGTATTGACACGATCTTCACCCTCCTACATGACACCCAACTCACGTCTCGCGTCTTTCTTGATCAGCCTCAAGTTGAAGCCAAGTATTTTCCTGGAAGACTCTGAAGGGGTTTGTTCGACCAGTATTATTTGGAATCTTTGATAATAATGAAGATTATTATGAGGATGATAATAACAATAGTATATATTAGTTTATATAGTAGATACTAATTATATATTTGAAGAAATGATAATAGTAATTATTTTTATCATAAATAATGCTATTAATATTACTAAGAATAGTAATAAACACATAACACATTAGTGTTTACTATATATGTCATATACATATATCAACATAAATTATTGCATACATATAATACATAGTGAATAAGAATATACAAAGCATAGGATTCCTTGGTAATTTAAGTTGGAAATACACACACACACACACACACACACACACACACACACACACACACACACCACAACACACACACACACACACACACACACACAGGGGTCGGTCCTAGGACCAGTGCTATTTTTGGTATATGTGAACGACATGACGGAAGGGTTGGATTCAGAAGTGTCCTTGTTTGCAGATGATGTGAAGTTAATGAGGAGAATTAAATCTGATGAAGACCAGGCAGGACTTCAAAGAGACCTGGACAGACTGGACACCTGGTCCAGCAAATGGCTTCTCGAATTTAATCCTGCCAAATGCAAAGTCATGAAGATAGGGGAAGGGCACAGAAGACCACAGACAGAGTATAGGCTAGGGTGGCCAAAGACTGCAAACCTCACTCAAGGAGAAAGATCTTGGGGTGAGTATAACACCGAGCATGTCTCCGGAAGCACACATCAATCAGATAACTGCTGCAGCATATGGGCGCCTGGCAAACCTGAGAACAGCATTCCGATACCTTAGTAAGGAATCATTCAAGACACTGTACACCGTGTATGTCAGGCCCATACTGGAGTATGCAGCACCTGTTTGGAACCCGCACTTGATAAAGCACGTCAAGAAACTAGAGAAAGTACAAAGGTTTGCGACAAGGTTAGTTCCAGAGCTAAGGGGAATGTCCTATGAAGAAAGATTAAGGGAAATCGGCCTGACGACACTGGAGGACAGGAGGGTCAGGGGAGACATGATAACGACATATAAAATACTGCGTGGAATAGACAAGGTGGACAAAGACAGGATGTTCCAGGGAGGGGACACAGAAACAAGAGGCCACAATTGGAAGTTGAAGACACAAATGAGTCAGAGAGATAGTAGGAAGTATTTCTTCAGTCATAGAGTTGTAAGGCAGTGGAATAGCCTAGAAAATGACGTAGTGGAGGCAGGAACCATACACAGTTTTAAGACGAGGTTTGATAAAGCTCATGGAGCGGGAGAGAGAGGGTCTAGTAGCAACCGTGAAGAGGCGGGGCCAGGGGCTAGGACTCGACCCCTGCAACCACAAATAGGTGAGTACAAATAGGTGAGTACATATATATTATATATATATATATATATATATATATATATATATATAGTGTGTTATATATATATACAATACATACATATATATATATATATATATATAAATATATATATATATATAATATATATAATATTATAATGTGTGTGTGTATATATATATATATATATAATATATATATATATATATATAATATATAATATATATATATACGTGTATCCATGTGTAACTTTCATACCCTCAGTTTTTTTTGGTCTTGCATAATCTCTCCTATTAGTTAATTTTATATCAAACTGAAAACCTTATCACCCAAAAATTACACGTTTTTATTCGAAGCTTCGTTAACTAGTTCAAGCTGAGTCGGTCTCTGAGCAGAATGTTGGGAACTGATATAATCCACACTCATCAGCACCCGTCACTGATTTAGAAAAAAAAATCAGCTCTCGCACTGTTCATGTAGATATTATCATGATTCAGTCAACGTGTAGTTGAAAGATTCCCCTCAACGTGTAGTTGAAGGATTCCCCTCAACGTGTAGTTGAAAGATTCCCCTCAACGTGTAGTTGAAAGATTCCCCTCAGCGTGTAGTTGAAAGATTCCCCTCAACGTGTAGTTGAAAGATTCCCCTCAACGTGTAGTTGAAAGATTCCCCTCAGCGTGTAGTTGAAAGATTCCCCTCAACGTGTAGTTGAAAGATTCCCCTCAGCGTGTAGTTGAAAGATTCCCCTCAACGTGTAGTTGAAAGATTCCCCTCAACGTGTAGTTGAAAGATTCCCCTCAACGTGTAGTTGAAAGATTCCCCTCAACGTGTAGTTGAAAGATTCCCCTCAGCGTGTAGTTGAAAGATTCCCCTCAGCGTGTAGTTGAAAGATTCCCCTCAGCGTGTAGTTGAAAGATTCCCCTCAGCGTGTAGTTGAAAGATTCCCCTCAGCGTGTAGTTGAAAGATTCCCCTCAACGTGTAGTTGAAAGATTCCCCTCAGCGTGTAGTTGAAAGATTCCCCTCAACGTGTAGTTGAAAGATTCCCCTCAACGTGTAGTTGAAAGATTCCCCTCAGCGTGTAGTTGAAAGATTCCCCTCAACGTGTAGTTGAAAGATTCCCCTCAGCGTGTAGTTGAAAGATTCCCCTCAGCGTGTAGTTGAAAGATTCCCCTCAACGTGTAGTTGAAAGATTCCCCTCAACGTGTAGTTGAAAGATTCCCCTCAGCGTGTAGTTGAAAGATTCCCCTCAACGTGTAGTTGAAAGATTCCCCTCAACGTGTAGTTGAAAGATTCCCCTCAGCGTGTAGTTGAAAGATTCCCCTCAACGTGTAGTTGAAAGATTCCCCTCAACGTGTAGTTGAAAGATTCCCCTCAGCGTGTAGTTGAAAGATTCCCCTCAGCGTGTAGTTGAAAGATTCCCCTCAACGTGTAGTTGAAAGATTCCCCTCAACGTGTAGTTGAAAGATTCCCCTCAGCGTGTAGTTGAAAGATTCCCCTCAACGTGTAGTTGAAAGATTCCCCTCAACGTGTAGTTGAAAGATTCCCCTCAACGTGTAGTTGAAAGATTCCCCTCAGCGTGTAGTGGAAAGATTCCCCTCAACGTGTAGTTGAAAGATTCCCCTCAGCGTGTAGTTGAAAGATTCCCCTCAACGTGTAGTTGAAAGATTCCCCTCAGCGTGTAGTTGAAAGATTCCCCTCAGCGTGTAGTTGAAAGATTCCCCTCAGCGTGTAGTTGAAAGATTCCCCTCAGCGTGTAGTTGAAAGATTCCCCTCAACGTGTAGTTGAAAGATTCCCCTCAGCGTGTAGTTGAAAGATTCCCCTCAACGTGTAGTTGAAAGATTCCCCTCAACGTGTAGTTGAAAGATTCCCCTCAGCGTGTAGTTGAAAGATTCCCCTCAGCGTGTAGTTGAAAGATTCCCCTCAGCGTGTAGTTGAAAGATTCCCCTCAACGTGTAGTTGAAAGATTCCCCTCAGCGTGTAGTTGAAAGATTCCCCTCAGCGTGTAGTTGAAAGATTCCCCTCAGCGTGTAGTTGAAAGATTCCCCTCAGCGTGTAGTTGAAAGATTCCCCTCAACGTGTAGTTGAAAGATTCCCCTCAGCGTGTAGTTGAAAGATTCCCCTCAGCGTGTAGTTGAAAGATTCCCCTCAGCGTGTAGTTGAAAGATTCCCCTCAACGTGTAGTTGAAAGATTCCCCTCAGCGTGTAGTTGAAAGATTCCCCTCAGCGTGTAGTTGAAAGATTCCCCTCAGCGTGTAGTTGAAAGATTCCCCTCAGCGTGTAGTTGAAAGATTCCCCTCAGCGTGTAGTTGAAAGATTCCCCTCAGCGTGTAGTTGAAAGATTCCCCTCAGCGTGTAGTTGAAAGATTCCCCTCAGCGTGTAGTTGAAAGATTCCCCTCAACGTGTAGTTGAAAGATTCCCCTCAGCGTGTAGTTGAAAGATTCCCCTCAACGTGTAGTTGAAAGATTCCCCTCAACGTGTAGTTGAGTGATTCCCCTCAACGTGTAGTTGAAAGATTCCCCTCAACGTGTAGTTGAAAGATTCCCCTCAACGTGTAGTTGAAAGATTCCCCTCAACGTGTAGTTGAAAGATTCCCCTCAACGTGTAGTTGAAAGATTCCCCTCAACGTGTAGTTGAAAGATTCCCCTCAACGTGTAGTTGAAAGATTCCCCTCAGCGTGTAGTTGAAAGATTCCCCTCAGCGTGTAGTTGAAAGATTCCCCTCAGCGTGTAGTTGAAAGATTCCCCTCAACGTGTAGTTGAAAGATTCCCCTCAGCGTGTAGTTGAAAGATTCCCCTCAGCGTGTAGTTGAAAGATTCCCCTCAACGTGTAGTTGAAAGATTCCCCTCAGCGTGTAGTTGAAAGATTCCCCTCAACGTGTAGTTGAAAGATTCCCCTCAGCGTGTAGTTGAAAGATTCCCCTCAGCGTGTAGTTGAAAGATTCCCCTCAGCGTGTAGTTGAAAGATTCCCCTCAACGTGTAGTTGAAAGATTCCCCTCAGCGTGTAGTTGAAAGATTCCCCTCAACGTGTAGTTGAAAGATTCCCCTCAGCGTGTAGTTGAAAGATTCCCCTCAACGTGTAGTTGAAAGATTCCCCTCAGCGTGTAGTTGAAAGATTCCCCTCAACGTGTAGTTGAAAGATTCCCCTCAGCGTGTAGTTGAAAGATTCCCCTCAGCGTGTAGTTGAAAGATTCCCCTCAACGTGTAGTTGAAAGATTCCCCTCAACGTCTAGTTGAAAGATTCCCCTCAACGTGTAGTTGAAAGATTCCCCTCAACGTGTAGTTGAAAGATTCCCCTCAACGTGTAGTTGAAAGATTCCCCTCAACGTGTAGTTGAAAGATTCCCCTCAACGTCTAGTTGAAAGATAAATATATATTAAACATACAAGTCTTGACAGATCTCCTGTTTCTCAAATTTAATGTGACTATCAACAACTATATGCATGAAAAAATATATAATAATATCCAGACACCTAACTGCTGAATGAATTTGATAAAAAGTTTCTCGTTATTAAATTACTCTTCACGTTGTATATTTGAGGTTTATATCAATCCCCTCATAAGCTATATATATACAGTTTGAAAAAAAAATCTGATTTTATCTGTGTTGATATAGTATTTTATTAGGTCTTAAAGCATAAAGATAAATTCAAAATTCCTCAAAATGTTATGTTATTGGTGTTAAAAAATATATGAATGTCATATATATGTCGTGCCGAATAGGTAAAACTGGTCAATTAGCAAGAACTCGTTTAAAATTAAGTCCTTTCTAAAAAAAATTCTTGTACGTTTAAAGATATGCATTTTCATTTATGCTAATGTAAAAATTAATAATTTTGTACCAAAAGAACCTTAGAAAACTTGCCTAACATTATAACAAGCACAATTTAACTTAGCCTATTCCAAAATTTAATAATAAAAAAACACGATGAAATACATTTTTATCGTTAGGTTCAGAATGATTTTTGCGAAATTATTGCATGCACAAATTTTCGCAAGAAAATCGTTGCTATTTAAGCCAAAATCGCATGTTTTACCTATTCGGCACCACACATACACACACACACACACACACACATATATATATATATATATATATATATATTATATATATATATATATATATATATATATATATATGTATATATATATATATATGCAATAAGATCACAATAAACAGGTGATTTCAGAATATGTAAAACAAACACTCTGAAAGAATAGAGAAATTCCAAGCGCTTTCGTGATCTCCCAAATTATCAAGGAACTATGAAAGTAAAGCATCCAAGGAAGCTATATAAGGGGTCTGGCCAACACCTCGCTATCAGATCCCACAACGGTGGGCCGGCGCGCGTCAGGTGTTTAACCGTTGTGGGATCTGATAGTGAGGTGTTGGCCAGACCCCTTATATAGCTTCCTTGGATGCTTTACTTTCATAGTTCCTTGATAATGTGAGTAGTCGCGAAAGCGCTTGGAATTTCTCTATTCTTTCAGTGGTTGTTTTGCATATATATACGTGTATATATATATATATATATATAATATATATATATATATATATATATATATATATATATATATATATATATATATATATATATAATCATTTAAAGCCAGCTTCGATACAGCTCGAGAGAGAGACAGAGGGGGGTGAGGGAGGGATAGAATGAATGACCCATAATGTTTGATCCCGGTACATCAAACGAATTTTGTCTCTAACACGCACTGATGCCGGAACTTGAACTCGGGTCTCTAAATCACTCCCTCAGGCAGCGATTTTTACTCTGTCTCCCACTCTCTCTTTCACTCTCTTTCTATGTTAGAGTGCGGAACAATATAAGATATCTCAGGGATTCTAAAAAGATTAACTAGGAGAGAATCGCTGCAAAAGGAACAATCCCATGAGGGTTGGCATGGCTGAGCATCTAAGTGGTGTGGTGGGGCGGGGTCTTGTTGACTGACATCTTCCCATGAGATAAGGAGCGTGTGTAATAGTGAGCGTATGAGACAGTGCAACAGAAGCTATTTAATCTCGGCTAAAGCCGAGCAAAAATAACGTCGCACAATTCAACAAGTGAACTATAGGTGGTTTATTGGTATAAACAATGGATAAAACCCGTGTTAGATTGAAAGCAATTATATTAATAGCCTTGTCAGAGAGAGGGAAAAATACAATTTTAGAATTTAAAAAGAGTGTACAGGAATTAGTGGGTCTAGATGTAAGTGGAAAGCTAAGCTTTGAAGCCTTCAAGGGAGGTTCCTCCACGCCAGTGTAAGTTTCTAGATACAAAGAATTTGACCTACCCTTCCCTTTCCTTGGAATAAATCTGAATGTTTCTTATCCCAAGGCGCTGTATAACTTCTACAGGTTTAACGTTCTGCCCACAATATAAAATATGTATCGAAGCCAAATGGAAGACTTGGAAATCTAATCTAATCTAATCTCTCTCACTCTCTCTTTTATACTCCAATCTCTTCCACTTTCCACCTCCAATTTCAATCTCTCCGCTCCACCCCACAATGTTTTCGATTCTCCAATTTCCTCCTCCCTCCCACCTGTCAACCCCTTCCAGCCTTTTTCTTTCATCTTATGACTGAGTGTCAAGGCTTTAAGATTTTTTATTTTGTGAGACATTGAGGTAAAACACAGCCATGGCAATAGACGGTAAACACACGTGATCCTCTTCCTTGGATGTAAAGCCCTTCAGTAAGAAGCATACCTTCCCCACTTCAATTAATGATAATATATTTCCTCATCTCAACGTAGATTTAAAATAAAAGTATTGTTTGCGTAAAAGTTTTCTCAAGTCTGTTTGCATATATTATGTGTAGGAAGTGTGGACATAAACTATATAAAATTAAATTATTAATTATTTCCTTTGATGTTGCAGTTGTCCCGGAATAAAATATTGAGGAACTGATCCTCAAAAATAGAGGGTTGCTTGAATTTCTTGGATCAAGAGGCCTTCACAAACATCAAGGTCCCTCATCATTGAAGGAAGTTGCCAATCGCCTTGAGTATTGTGTACGTACTGATCCTATTTTTCTATGGCCTTTTCATTTCTGAATTCGTTATGTACTCTTCTTGTCTCACAGCTTCGAGATAAGTCTGGTGACAGTTCTGTTAACGTTACGAAGTTTCTGTCCTTACGGACGAGAGAAATACTCTTGACACCAGATGTACAGTAATCTAGACAACTTTGTTCAACTTGCTAAGTTGTAATTCATGCATATATGACTGATGCTATCAACTAGTGTGAATCTCTGATGATAGGTTTCCAGATACAGGCTTGCTGGACCTGGGAGATAGAAGAAATTAATTTAGCCTGTTAAAAACTAGATCCTGTGCCACGTAATACTCTGGTCAAAGAAGGTATGGTTATGGGAACCTTTCAACCAGTATGGTTTGTTATACACCATAACAAACAATAGAATTGTTAGAAAACACTTTGTCAGTTTAAGATAAGTGTAACGGTGAAAACCACAAAAAGTGAAATATGAAAGCAGTCATAAAGTGAAAATCAAACAAACAACGAAATACGATCAGTTTACCACAAGTTGAGAATGTTGACTAAAATCTCTTATTCAACTCACGCACTCACATAGGTAATTAAAAATGGCTTATTACATCCACCCACGCTCAGTTGTATTAATTAAACGTGATAATTTCGGCCAAGTTCTCTGGCTAGTAACATATTAGTATTTCTGGCTCAACCGTAAGACCGAGAACAGTCATAATTACGTCGATATAACACAAAATAATGTTTTCCCCCGCTGTCCAACACTCCGAGAAGTGTCACAACAACGTTATTAATAGCATAACACCTGCAGCCTTATTCTTATACTGATAATAACACAATTTTAGTCCTCTACGTTGGTGTGTTGTGAGATCACAGTTTCCTGCGTTGGTGTGTTGTGAGATCACAGTTTCCTGCGTTAGTGTGTTCTGAGATCAGTTTCCTGCGTTGGTGTGTTGTGAGATCACAGTTTCCTGCGTTGGTGTGTTGTGAGATCACAGTTTCCTGCGTTGGTGTGTTGTGAGATCACAGTTTCCTGCGTTAGTGTGTTCTGAGATCAGTTTCCTGCGTTGGTGTGTTGTGAGATCACAGTTTCCTGCGTTGGTGTGTTGTGAGGTCACAGTTTCCTGCGTTGGTGTGTTGTGAGGTCACAGTTGCCTGAGTTGGTGTGTTGTGAGGTCACAGTTGCCTGAGTTGGTGTGTTGTGAGGTCACAGTTTCCTGCGTTGGTGCATTGTGAGGTCACAGTTTCCTGCGTTGGTGTGTTGTGAGATCACAGTTGCCTGAGTTGGTGTGTTGTGAGGTCACAGTTTCCTGCGTTGGTGTATTGTGAGGTCACAGTTTCCAGGAGGTAACCCTATTGTTGAAGACATTTACTTTACCACCAAGTCATATGACCTTAACCACCAAGTCATGTGACCTTAACCACCAAGTCATGTGACCTTAACCACCAAGTCATGTGACCTTAACCACCAAGTCATGTGACCTTAATCACCAAGCCATGTGACCTTAACCACCAAGTCATGTGACCTTAACCACCAAGCCATGTGACCTTAACCACCAAGCCATGTGACCTTAACCACCAAGTCATGTGACCTTAACCAGGTCATGTGACCTTAACCACCAGGTCATGTGACCTTAACCATCAGGTCATGTGACCGTAGCCACCAGGTCATGTGATCTTGACTAGGTACGCCATGTGGTTGACCTCCTTTACCAGGTCATGTCGCTGACCTTCACTACCAGGTCATGTGCTAGACCCAAAATATCAACATCTGAGTTAATTACTTCTTTTGGCTCTAATAACACGAACTGAAAACTTCTCTGTTGATTAGAGGGCCGCTGGGTGGCGTGATGGTAATATAGGGTGTGGTGAAGTGTGTTAGTTTACAGGAGTGTGGTGGAGCGCAGTTTAGTTTACAGGAGTGTGGTGGAGCGCAGTTTAGTTTACAGGAGTGTGGTGGAGAGCAGTTTAGTTTACAGGAGTGTGGTGGAGAGCAGTTTAGTTTCGGGAAAGTGTGGTGGAAGCAGTTTAGTTTACAGGATGGGGGGTGGAGGCGTTTTTTTTAAAAGGGAGTGTGGTGGGAGCATTTGTTTACAGGAGTGTGGTGGAGAGCGTTTAGTTTACAGGGTGTGGGTGGGGGGCTTTTTTGTTTAAGGAGTGGGTGGGTGGGGTTGGGTGTTGTTGTATGTGAAGGAGTGGTTGGGATGAAGGCTTATGGTGAAGAGACAAGGTTTTTTTAAAAATTGGTTAGAAAATACATTAGGGGGTGTCGGGGGGTGTGGTTGGAACCTGCTAGCTTGTGCTGATGGGTTTGATCCCGTGCGCCTTCTTAAGGGTAGGGCCCTGCCCTGATTAGGTTGGGCGGTGGGTGAGTGGACCTGCTGCAGGGCCCAGTAGGCTGCTGCGTTTTCTTTCTTTTTTTGTTCTTAAAACGTTTTGCTACTGATAGTATTACACATTTTTCTTTGCCTCGTGAAATGTAAGAGGGATGTAAAACTTATCAAATTTCCTTCTTCAATTATACTTAGTTTTTCCTGTGTATTTTTTAAATTTCTAAAAGCTTTCCATTTTTAAGACTTTTGTTAAGCCAGAGCAGGAATACCCATGAGAAATTCTCAGGTTTACGTGGGAAGACCGTGACAAGCCCTTTAAAAAGACCTTACCAAGGACTTCAAGTATACCAAAAAGGTCCCCACAGACAGCACAAAAAACTCGGCCGACTTCCCCAGATTTTGAAAAAGCCCCGAGAACGCCACCCTCGCAGCGCCTATGGGGTAAACATAGAGTCGAGGCCCCTGTTTTTCCCTCTGAGTAAATCTTCATTTTAAAATTATTTTTTCCCTTCCCCCAAGTTGTGTGTGTGTGGGGCGGTTTCTCCTGGTTGTGGTTGAGGGGTCGATCACGCTTTGGCCCGCCTCTTCCCTGGTCGTACAGATCACTCTTCAGCTCCATGAGCTTTTCACCCCTTCTTCAAAGCTATGCGGAATCCTGTCACTACACCCCTTTTCCCAAAAAAAATTTCCCGTTCCCGACTATGTGACTGAAAAATACTTCTTAAATCCCCGTGATTCATTGGTCTTCAAAATTCCCCTGTGGCCCCCTTTGTTTTTGGGTGCCCCCTTTTGGAAATCCCGCTCTGTCCACCTTTTTCGTTCCTCTGTTTTACGTGTCGTTTTCATATCCCCTTCTCCCTGTCCCCGTGTGTCAGGTCGATTTCCTTAATTCCTCGTAGGACTGTCCTTAGCTCCCGGGAATATTTCTGCCCAAACCCTTTTCACTTTTTCAGTTTCCTTACGTGCTTGGGTAGGTGTAGGTCAAAAATGGGTGTGCATACTCCAAAATGGGCCTAAAAGTACACGGTTTTATAGGGTCCTGAACGATTCTTTGAGTTGTCGGAATGCTGTTTTACGTTTGCTAGGCGCCCATATGTGCAGCGTTTTTGGGTTTTGTGGCCTAGTGTGCCGGTACTCGCAATTGTACTCGCCTAATTGTGGGTTGCAGGGGTCGGACTCGGTCCTGGCCCACCCCTTCACCGATCGCTATAGGTCCCCTTGCTTCCAGAGCCCCGTCATACTCGTCATTTTGCTATGTATGGTTTGCTCCACTACATCATTGCAGGCATTCCCTCCCCAAGACTCTGATGAGAAATATTTCCTAAATCCTGTGATCGTTTGAGTCTTTGCTTCCAATTTTTGCCCCTTGTTTCTGTGTCCCCTCTCTGGAACATCCTGTCTCTGTCCACCTTATTTATTCCACGCAGTATTTTGTAAGTCGTTATCATGTCTCATCTGACCCTCCTGTCCTCCAGTGTCGTCAGTCCGATTTCCCTCAACTTTTCATCGTAGGACATTTCCCTGAGCTCCGGAACTAGCATTGTTGCAAACCTTTGTACTTTCTCTAACTTTTTGACGTGCTTGACCAGGTGTAGGTTCCAAACTGGTGCTGCATACTCCAGTATGGGCCTGATGTACACAGTGTACAGTGCCTTGAACGATTCCTTACTAAGGTATCGGAACGCTATTCTCAGTTTGCCAGGCGCCCATATGCTGCAGCAGTTATCTGGTTGATGTGTGTGTGTGTGTGTGTGTGTGTGTGTGTGTGTGTGTGTGTGTGTATGTATTTGCGTGTTGGAGAAGATTCTTTGAGTATGAATCTTTGAACTCCTTCATATTAAAAAGTTTACCGCGAGAGAGAGACAGACAGAGACAGACAAACAGAAAATATAATAAATGACTCTTATTGAGAGAGACACACCAGTACATCCTGCTACAGTGAAAGCAAAAAAAAAGTATTGGTATTGATGGTCAGAGTACTCGTGGTAGATGAAGTATGATCAACACATGCCTTCACTAGCGTGTTCCGGTACATTGCAACTCAATTCCAGGCAACCTATTTCCAGGAAGAAATTGACTCTATCCTGCTTGTTACCAAGGGATTATATGAAGCAGGAGAGCGGCAGCAGTTGCAGCGAGGCGGTAGTAGTGGCTTGGTAGCAATAGGGCGGCGGCGGCGGCGGCAGCGGCGGCGGCGGCAGCGGCGGCAGCGGCGGCAGCGGCGGCAGCGGCGGCAGCGGCGGCGGCAGCAGCAGCTGCTGCTGCTGCTGCTGCTGCTGCGCTCACCACAATGCACATCAGCCATCAAAACTTAAGCCATGCAACACTCGTATTTTCCACAAGCTTTTGAAGGAATTAGACTAATGGTGATATAAACCTTAACAAACAACTTCTAAATCTCTTATGTATAATGCAACTTTCTGCCTGTGCAAAACATAGTAAAGGATATATTTTCAGCATACATTACGTGCTGGTATACTGTACTAGTAATTCCAAGGAGAAGCATATATTTGTTAATATACTATTTGGAGCTTATATTAGCCGTGTTTGCCTTATAATCAAACGAACAATGAATACAAAAGATTGTGGCTAAAAATATTCACTGAACAGATTAAATTCGCTTGTTTTTGTTTCCGTAAACATAGCTAGAAATTGGATTACATTGCATCATACG